CCCCCCCAGGGGGCAGTGTGAGGGGCCGATGTTGTCGGACGACAGCGCGTTTATGCATCTGGGCTCCGCATGTGAGAGATATAACTACATAACTAGGGTTACGTATTGTAACCCTAGTTATGTAGTATATAGTATATAGTATATTAGCACAGGCGGAGCCCTCTACTCGGGGCACTGTCTGTCCCATGACGCTCGCTGAAGAGGGTGTAGGATGACGGTCAGGAGGCGAGACCGCCTTTTATACGGGTTGCTTGCGCACGCATTCAGGTAGGGGCCGGCTCCGCCTGTGCTTATATAACTAGGGTTACAATACGTAACCCCTCGTTTCTCCGGTTCAACATGGACTCTGCAGCTTCTCCAGGAGAGGAACCTGAGTGCTGCATCACCGCTGGTATGGCAGACTCTACATGTGCCTTTATCCAGACTGGATAATGAGGTCATCTGTGGGAGCATCAGGTGTAGTGAGGTGTGGAGGGGGGAGGTTTTTGCCGCGCTGTAATGTTTTTCTGATGAAGGTGACACCCACACTCAGGACTGTTGGGGGGTGGACATCAGTTAGAAACCTCTCATCCATTCTGTGGATTGATCTAAAGTTTTCAAAGTCCAACCCCCCCCCCCACCCAGAGCCTGCAGTGATGGTAGAGCTCCTTCTGCAGGGAGAAATCAGAACACACTTCATTAGTCTTTTTGTCACATCTTTTTTCTTTAGATATGTATTTCTGATATTGAGTTTTAATGAACGATAACAGTTTTTTAGATGTGAGTTTATTGAAGTAGTTCCAGTGGTTGGAGTTTTCCCTTTCCTGTAGTGGGTTAAATTATAGGTTTTTGTGCATGTCAATGGTCTGCAGAGGCTAAAATGTGCTAAAAAGTGTTATCTCTCCAGGGCGAGAAATACTCCCTCTGGACACATTTACCAAAACCAACAATGTGTTGTCTCTCAATACTTTCTGACATCCCTACCTTTCTGTGGCTCTTTTCCCAAATCCCATTGGTTTCTACTGAAGATTTAAACCTTAAAAAACATCTCAAAAGTATTTTTGAAGGCGTTCAAAGGGTTTTCCTTATAGACAAGGTTGGTCCAGTGAGTGCTGTTAAGACTGTAACATCATTCATATTAGTCTGGACAGTATGGCTTCGTGGAGGCTTTCCCACCATTTATAGGGCAAAAACAGTTACCGTTAACATCTATTGTGAAACAGGAAGTGGAGCAGGGATCAACAGGATGTGGAGAGGAAGCAGACAGATATCTGCTGACACATCACATGTCCCCGCTGAAGGGAGGCTTCTCTTGGCTGACTCCCACTGTCAGCCTCATGCAGTCAGTTCATGCTGTAGCTTCTCCACCACCAGCCCTGCATACAGGACTGCCTCCTCCTGCTTCCATTTTATTAATGCGGTAAAATATAAAAACAAATATCTGGAATGATCACATTTGAAATGAATGGTATAAGTGCAACAGGTGGTGTGTTGTATTTGTCAGCTCATAACTCATGGATGTAAAGATGGCTGCTAAAGTTAAGGATGTTTGCTGATTTTACAGCAGGTTGACAGTGTTTCAGCCCTAACCCAAGCCAGCGTCACTTATGGATGTGGTTGGGTGTGTTCAGTACATGCTCTGTTGCACCTGTCACAGCAATGTCACAGTGTCTTGTGTACGGCTGTGCGTCAGTCCAGCAAGGTGACAAGTTAAACGTATTAAACAATAAACTGGAGTGAAACACTGATGCAGTAGTAGCCAGTGTGCTCTACTTTGTACTGGGGGGAGACATCAGAGAAAGGGATGCCGACAGGCTGAACAAGCTTGTGAAGAAGGCTAGCTCCAGAGGTGGTGGAACAGTAGAAGTACTCAGATCTAGAACTTGAGTAAAGGTAGAAGTACCAGAGTGTAGGAATAAAAATAATAGGAATACTCTGCAAAAGTCCTGCATTCAAAATGTTACTCAAGTAAAAGTAGAAAAGTATTCTCATCAAAATATAGTGAAAGTAGCGACAGTAAAAGTAGTCATTGTGCAGATTGGTCCATTTCAGAATAATATATTTGATATGTTTTATAATGATTGATCATGAAAGTGTTCTCAAAGCTGGTAAAGGTGCAGCTAGTCTGAATGACTTTGTATACTGCAGGGTAGCTTGTGGATTTACTCCAGGTGGAACTAAAGTCTGATTTAACACTTGATTATATTTCACATCATTCATCCACATCTGTAAAGTAACTAAAGGTATTCAATACATGTAGTGGAGGAAAAGTACACAATTTACCTCTGACTTAGTGGAGTAGAAGAACAAAGTAGCATAAAATGGAAATACTGAAGTAAAGTAAAAGTATCCAAAGTTGTACTTATGAGTGCATGTACTTAGTTACTTCCCACCTCTGGCTAGCTCTGTTGTTGGAGTAAAACTGGACAATCTGGAGGAGGTGGCAGAGGGGAGGAGGAGGCTGGACTGTCTCAACCTGTAATGTATGTACATATGGGATTTACATTTAGATGTATTTAAGTATTTAATTCATAATTGTTCATATTTGTATATAAACACTTTTTTAGTTTTATTCTATACTGTTACTTGGTTTTAAATTTGCTTTCCTAATGACGCTTCTTTGAACTCTTGCCTGTCCTCTCCTGTATTCCCATCCTGTTAGGGTTAGGGGTTTACATGTGTTTTGGCCACATTTGTGTTTATATATTTACATCATTTTAAAGCTGTGTGTTTCTCCTAATGTTGGTGTTTTGGACAGTTGTAGCATGTTTGCACCTGTCGGACTGCTACAGGTTTTGTTTGCATGTGTATATTTTGGGCCTATAGTGTAATTCTAAATGAATCGAGAATGAAGAACTGAATGTTAATCCCATAGCAGGAGAGGCTTTTGTGTCTCCTCTAAACCCAACATTACAAAGCAAGACACCATCGCTAAACATTGCTATTATTTTTTAGTTCTTATGTAATTTATTTGGTCTACTTCCATATGTGCAAACAATCGAGTCCCTTCAAATAAAAAAGGCAAGCTGCTATTATTAAAACTTCTGTTCAAAATGGACACACAAAGATGAATGAATAACTCCTTCAGCGTATGGGCAGATATCAAAATAGTTGATTTTATTTGTACTGTATTAAAGTTCTAAACACAGGCAGTGGTTTTACACATCACCATTCAGACATGGGATCCATGTGGTGGAGAACCTCCCAAAGCGTTACAGTACAGTGATAAAGTCCTCTCTCCACAGCCTTCATGTAGCACAAATCAAACCTGTCAACAATCAGTGGTTCTGTAACAAACCTAAGCTGCCCAAACCTTTGTTTGGATGTCATGTGATGTGATTACAGCTGACCCTGGGTCAGGGCTGCAGGGGGGTCATCAGGAAATCAGTGACATGTACATATCATTTGCGCTTTTGCAAACTTGTTAAAAGTTCAAGAACGTTAAATATCTTGAAAAATATCCTTACTATTACAATTTCTTCCTTCATATTGACTATTTCCTTCAACACATTTAGACACTCCCTTGTAGAAAGTGATTCTCTTTAGAAGTAAATTCTCTCCAGCCATCACATGGATGGGCCTTTAAACTGGGCTATTCAGAACATGAAATACATCATACATTAAGACTTGATTCTGTGGTCCCGCCTACTTCATATAAACTCAGCCAATGAGCTTCCACCTACCTGTTTACCCAGGACTCTTTATTATGATTATTGTTTGTTTCAACCTATATTTGTCTACTCCTATCTTCCTGTAAACTGTTCTTGGAACAGTGTGTAGGTACATTGAGAGCACTCTAAACCCAGAGACATGTCCTTGTATAATTACCCACAATGCACTGGGCAAGAAAGCTTATTCTGATGCGCAGCTCATGAAATGTGTCACACAAAGAATGATATACAGTCTCGGTCGATGGTCGTGGCTTCTTTTGTTTTTCCAATCCAGTTTAGATTTAAACATGGCCACTCCCACATGATCAAAGCATGAACGCAGCGTCATTGATAACATGTAGCACCCCATATCCATTTTTTACCCAAGCTAGAATAGAACTGATATGACTTGTTCAGATGGGGACGGCGATGTTCATGTGTCATGTGAAGTTGAAGCGTTTAAATCTAAACTTGGTTGGAAAAACAATAGATGCTTGTAGCTCTGCTAATCCATCAACAGGGGGGTGTAAAGTATCAAAACACTTTTTTTTTTATTTCACCAAGAGAGGTCTCGTTCATTAAAATCAATACTAACACCGTGAAGTCAACCACTGGAGGATGGACTTCTAAGCTACAGTTCAACACTACAGAGAGTGAAACAGAAATATGACATGGTTTGTACTGACTCCATGTTCGGTCTGATCAAATTTCTACTTATTTTATTTCTACCTCCCACCTTACATCTGTTACTTTTAATATTCTCTAGCCGATTTGATGAGCTGCTCAGCAGACTGATAGCAGTTTGGATACATTTCATTTGGAAAGTTGATGTCTCAGCTTCTTCTTCCTCTCTGTATGTTTGCTAATGAAGCCTTCCAGCTTTAATGTTGCCCATCAGCACTTCATATGATGCCTTCAGCACAGGATATGGCGTTTGTTAACCACCTTAAACATTCATTTTAACAGCTTCTTTATAAACTTTGCTAAATTCTAAAAGGATCATTTTGCTTGTATTATCACCCACACTGAAACATGGCCTTTCTGTTGACAATTCAAATGACTTCCTGCTACCATATTCCCCAAACACTTGCAAAGTCTACATTTGGCCGGTTTTTCATAGGAATAAAAAATACACCAAACAAATGGGCCCAGAAAGCAAGGCACGTTGCCAGCAGCTGTTATCAAACAGTGTTCAAGGTGGAATTAATTTTCCTCACGCTCTCTGTGAAGTGTGTGTGGCCGTTGCACTTGCTGAATAAGCATCTCGTTTCCCTCACACACAGGCGGGGTCACACTCTGGTTCTGCTCTGATATTCTTTGGTCTGAGAGGGTGTTCCTCTGAGTAAGGCTGCCTCCCTCTTCATCACCGGTCACATAGTTCAGAGTGGATGAGTCCCTCAGCTCCAGCTCACATCATACTGCGTCCAGCCCTCGGGGGGGGCCAGGAATACCCTGCGACCCCGGTACAGGAAGTTCACTACGCCCCTGTAACCTGTGCGAGGAACTCCAGATTTCAAGTCGTCCATCACTCCTAGATTTCGAGCAAAGACTTTGAAAGTGTCGCGGCTCGAGTACTGCACCCTGAAGGGCCCCGGGCCCCTCAGGGTGCCCCCCTGCTGCAGCTCCTCCATCTTCACCAGGGGGGCGCTGTAGACCTCTTTTATAAGCCTTTCATCGTACTTCTCTTGAAGCAAATAAGACAAATCCTGTTTGGTAAAAGGCACAAACTCAGTGTTTAGCTTAATGTAGCGCAGGTACTGGTCGAAGAATTGACCTAAGCTGACGCCTTTGCGGCCGAAGGTGATGGTGCGGGAGATTTCGGGGCGGATGCAGGAGCGCTCCTTACGCTGCTCCGGCTGACGCATCCAGTCGTCCCAGAAGGCTGAGGGCCACTTGGGTTCCAGTTCTGCCCACATCTCTTTGAGCAGCATCCAGCCCAGCCCGGGGAAGAAGTCTGTCCTGTAGAGCAGCTCAGCTTTGGAGGGGTCCACCAGGGCGTCTCTGCCGTTATCGTTCCACGCAGAAACACACCACAGGGTGGGGTCGGCGTGCAGGATCGGGTACAGTGCTCGGAAATACTCAAAGAAGTCAGGGGCCACCTTAAGAGAGGAGAGGGAGGCACAGTGAGCTACAGTCTCAGAAGCATCATTGAAGGGACAGTTCATTACTATCATTTAAAAACATTCCATTCAATTTTCTCAACTTACAACAAAACCTCTAGGCCTTTAAAGAACAATTGGATTTATTTTCATAGTTTTGGCCATTCTTTCTATTAGTCTAAATAATATGATAGTCTCCAAATAAATAGCAGAGCTCTGGGAACAGAGCAACATGCACAAATACTGTAAGTACAGTAGGTCAAAGTTGAAGAGGGATGTGGTCTGTTTGACCGGGAGTTGTGTCGCCAACCAATCAGAGAGTACGACCGCTTGGGTTTCTTCACCACACATCCTCTCAGGTCAGCTATTAACTCGCTGTGTATATTGTTGATTGACTGATATAGAGTGGTGCAGTAATCAGTCCTAAAACCTCAATGGTCATTGGCTAGAAGCCTAAAATAGGCTGAAGAGATTTTCATTTAATGGGAATGCTGTTAACAGCATTCCAACTAACTGTTATTCTACGGACGAAAAGTTTATTATTCCGCCGGTATTTTGGCCCTCTTCTCCTCCCGCATTGAACATCGCAGAAACTCCGTTCAAACATCAAAAAACGTTCAGCTTGGTCGGGAATCGATGGCTATTACTTTTCTCATTCATAACTTTCATAATTCCAGAGATACATCCCATAATACATCAAATTTTTAACATTGAAGTCAATGGAGAAAATCTTCAGACTTCAACCAAATCTTCATGCGATTCAACTGCTAACTGTTCATTCATACTTTCACTCAGACACCTCACTCCAACTTTACAATGTTACACATCTTTCTGACATTATTCGCGTAAAACAACTTTTAAATCTGATTCTTCCTTTTAGAGATATTAAACATTGTTCAGACCTTGTTTTAGAGGTTTTCTTCACATTTTAACATTAACTAGAGTGCGTGATGTCACAGCTAGAGGGTAGAACATCTTGAATCTAGTTAATGTTAAAATGTGAAGAAAACCTCTAAAACAAGGTCTGAACAATGTTTAATATCNTAATACATATGACATATATTTTACATCTCTTCAGTACCGATAAAAAGACCGATAACATCGGAGCTTAACGGTACCACGGTCTTTAATAATTCAGCCCCTGGGTCCGCTTAATACCAGGGCTCGGTACCCAACCCTACTCAGAGCTAACCTGTACTGCACATGCTTCTTCGCATGTGTGTGAAGAAGCAGGAAATAAAAAGGAACTCACCTTGTGGTATAACCGGCAAGAGAGAAAGCCTTTGAGCTCCATACTGTTTCAGAAATAATCCTTGATAATCCATGATATGGCGTTTCAACACCGCAGTATCTGCCGGTAGCATCTCCCGCATGAGCTCAGCCCCCTCCTCTTTTTTTTGTATCCATTTAAAAAAAAAAAGAAAAGCTTTATACCCCAAACCGGCAGTTTTGAAACAGGAAGTGAAATGGAGGGATATGTGGCATGCAGTGGCGTAACAAGGTTGTGATTGGCCCCGGTGCAAATATTGTTTTGGGGCACCCCCATCGCCCCAAACATTAGCGCACGCTGATGCGCTCACACACGCACGGACATACACAACCACTCAGAAGCACCACATGTATAGACTATCAACAAAGCCTGCCCTGGCCTCAGACCACCACAGCCTGACAACGGCACAGCGAACTAAGAAGAGGATTACACCTGTGTCCTTGATGTTTGTCTCTGGGGAATGGGCCGGTAGACCTACATAGACCGGTTGCTATAATATAGCTTTTGATCTTAGCGTCGGGGGTCTCAATAGCGCCATAGTCCCCTATCGGTTGGGGCCCTTGGGGGAACTGTTGGACCACCGCCGGGCACAGGCTGGCTGGAGAAGAAGGTTGCACAACCACGGCCACGGATACAGCTTCACTTGTGGAGCTAGATGACAATGATGGTGGTGAGGCAAGGGGGGCTATCGTTAGCCTCCGGCTGCACGTCAACATTGCTAACGTTAGCGCTCGATTTCGAGGACGATGTGTGACAAAAAAAACATCTAATTTTGTCAGTTTAGCTGTTACATCTCCTTGTTCTATCTTGTCCTTTCTCTTTTGAGCTCTACTCTTGTGTGTTGGGTTTGCTGTACATTATAAATGCAAGCTATTACATTTTTTTATAATGCTGCCGAACTTGCCTATGCTAGCTACATTACAGTACAGGTTGATTAAACGGTTCGCTCGTCACACAAGGTATCACATGATTTGAAAGGGAGCAAGGTCATTGGACAGACAAATGATTAATTAATTAATTATTTTTTACATGGGCCCCTTGCCGGCTCTGGACCCCGGTGCGTTGCACCGGCTGCACCGTCAGTAGTTACGCCACTGGAGGCATGGCTAGAATGGGTGATCTGTTTGGTATTTTGAGCAAAACACTTCATAGACATGTTTTTTATATATTTGTATACATCTGAGGCCTATGCTATTGCCTGGAAATAGCATGATAGGTGACCTTTAAAGTTAGTAAAAACATTTGTATCCACACACTGACAGTACAGTATGTGTTCATTTGTTCCATTCCATGTTATTAAGCTGACTTTTTATCCAAAGCGACTTACAATCACTCAATTATATTATTCACTGCAGCTGCATCATGTTGAGTAAAAGACCCCATGCTTTTATGTCCTCACCATTTCATCAAATGGAAATATTGTATTTCAGATGAACTCATTTCACATATTATATCCACTGAATCCAGACATATTTGCCAACTTTGACCTTTAAGCACAATGAAACAATAACATGAATCAACAGTAAACGCCTGAGGGGTTAAACAGTGCCTGCACACACAGCTTGAGTGTGTGATTCCCCTGGTAGCTCTGCAGCTTTAAAGAGGTTGGATAGAGTTTCCACTGGGAAAGAGTAATTACATGTTGCTGCTAGACAAATGTGGGTTCATGAAGACTGGAGCAGCTCCCTATGGTCCCACATGTGTCTCAAATATTCATTAGGGAAAAATCTAACAGGAGCTTTTAAGACTTTGTGAAAAACGTCACGTATAGTAGTCATCAGGCCATTGCACAGCATTTATCATATGTATGTATGTATGCAGGGCCAGCGTTTTGGAATAAACTCATATCAATTATTCTACATCAGAACTGCATATTCAACTGATGTTTGGGTTTATGTGCTGACACTTAATAGGGAAGTTGCTAAAACTCCTAGCAGCTTCTATAGGTAGATTTAAAAAAAACAGTAAAAAAAGGGCCTCAGCAGCAGGAGAAATGGTACAGGAAATGTAACTTTGCAGCAGTTCTAGTGCCTTGAAAGTCAGCAATTATCTTTCTAATGAGCAGGGAAATCTGGCTCCACTCATGGGACTGCTCTCCACTGGCTTCCTTTTTTGGACTCCTGACAACTCAGGCACCAACTCCGTTTGTTTTGGCTAATCTCAATGTGAGTTGACAGAGTTAAAGTTCATTTGACATCTTCAAACCTGCTGCACCCACTCACTTCATATGTGCAGCCAACGTTTGTTCAAATACACATTCATTTGATAGTGTTTTTCATACACATTGGTCTTTTTGATAGCCTGCAGTAGAGGGGAAAGGAAATGAGGGCTGAGAGAGAGATGGGGGTGCAACTGACCAAGGTTCCGTAACAAACATAACAAAGGACATTAACCAAAGTGCTGTACTTTAGTACAATATTAAGGATACTTTTTTTTACTCAAATATTTAGATTTTTAGTTTTATTTATAAATCTACTCCACTACATTTCCGAGAGGCATATTTAACTTTCTCTATATTCTCTTTTTGACAGCCTTTATCTCTTTTCAGATTAGGATTTAACAATAATAATAATACGTTTCTTAAACATAATGCATTGTTAAATATTTAAAGCAGCAGTCTCTGTTTTGCATTTCAGATATCTTTGAACTGTTAGCAGCTCCACTTAAAAGTGGACACAATCATTTCAATAAGCCCAGAGAGGTAAAACAATAAGAGAATGATCCAAAGAAATACGTACAAATGTATGTAGTAAAGACTTTTTGATCTCTCCTGTACTTAAATGAGTCTTGTAATCCAGCGGGTTAGCATCCTCTGACTGAAATGTGTGTATATAACTAACTCAACCTATATTGTAATCAAGATGAGAACCGTAAACAAATAAACAAGTACTCGTTCCGGTTAGTACTGTTTACACAGGGAGGTGGAAACTAAATGTGTCCTCTTTGTATCATGTCCTTAGTCCTAACTAAGTAGGCACATGGGTGCTGCTGTTTGTCTACCAGAAGTTATTTTTCAAGGCTTTGAGCTCAAAACAATCCATCATTTAAACAGAACAATTCCAGTTTATCACAAGTCTCTGAAGTTTACACCAAAATGTTTTGAGTTCACCACCAGTGGGGTGTTTATTGGTGTATTTTATGAGAGAATGCAATTCCTGAAGAAATTGCTAGTGGGAATGCTTTATGCTGAAAAGCTGACGCTGAACTGCTATGCTGAAATGTAATGTGTAAGAAGAAAGTGAAGAATTGAGATTGAAATGATACATGAACACTGGGGGCTTGAATGTGTGATGAGAGAAGAAAAGAAAGTAAAAAGGCTTGGAAAAGCAGCAGAATATTTGAACTGCAAACTTCTGAACTAACTTGATGGCGAATGATCTGTCGCTATGGCAACGGCATTTGATGACACCCCATAATACGCTTAGATGCGTTGATGGCTGCATCGTTACCAAAACTGTGAAGTTTTGGGGCGTTTGGAGCAGTTTCTGAAGTTATGAGAAAGCCGTGTTTCATGACGAGCATTGTGTTGCCATGGCAACGGCATTTGAAGAGATCTCAAAACTATCCCTCAGATGTCTTTGCGGCTGGACTGTTAGCACATATGTGAAGTTTGAGCACTTTTTGAACATTTTCATAGGAGTTATAGCGACATCATGTTTTATGGCGAGGGATGCGTTTCCATGGAAACGGCTTATGGTGAGATCTCAGATTTGGCGTAGAGCTGTTGAGGCATGGACCGGTGATATACAAGNTCACCAAATCTGTTTCTAATACGCAAAAAGACTACAAAATGCGTCTATGATTATTTTTAGTATTTTCGATCTTTCCAATCCAGACGAGAGATCTCTCTCCCCCGTCTGCTTGCGAGGGGGCGGGGCAGTTTACACATACACGGAGGAGATGGCGGAGAGAACGCGCTCCGAGGTGTGGTTAAACTTTATCCGTCTCGATGTGGACAATGCTCGTTACCAAAAGTGCAATAAGAGTTTAGCATGTAAGGGCGGTAGCGCGAGCAATGGGTCAAAACATTTAGCAAAAGTGCACCATATCCAGACGGAGAAATGCATCGCGTTCGACTGTCTTTCTAGTAGCTCTGTAGCCTCATCCACGAGTAACGTTTCCACGTCAGGTATGTTGTGTATGCTAGCAGCAACACAGAGTTAACTAAATTATACAAACATGGGTTAATGATTAGACGTAACTGAGTTATTTATTTTGTTAAAGTTTCAGCTATTCTGTTTACAGTTCTGTCATCAGATTATTTAATACAATTTGTTAAAACATTGTTGTTTATTTTGGATGTGAAATATTATGTATTTAATTTAAATAAAAAGCAATGTTAGTTTTGTTCACAATTTGTTTAGTTAGTTTACCTTGTTTTTTTCTCCAAAAGAACCGATAAAAGTACCGTTAAAAGACCGGATCGATAAGTGGTATCGATAAAAGTAGTAGTACCGTTAAAACCTTAACGATACCCATCCCTAGCTCTGAGTGTTATCGATGCTAATGTAAACATGCACCAACCATATTACGTCCAAAACAGTCGGGCATTTTTTCTGATAGCAACGTTTCTGATGGGGCCATGGGTGTAAAGCCAGCCTACATTTCCGATATTAAGTCATATCAGACGCAAATCTGGATCAGCTCCGTTGTAGCCCCGTTTTAAGAGATTTGGGTACGGAGGAAAAGAGAGAGGGTTTTATTTTCAGACGCCGCGTGAGTTCCCCGACACATCGGGGACACATCTTTATGTATAAAAGACATAAAAAAGTGCATTTTGCATGATAGGTCCCCTTTAAAGCTGCTTTGATTCAAAAGCTGGGTTTATAGAGATCTGTTAAACTGGCTTGTTTTTAGAGCTTAGCCTAGCTGATCATTTAGAATGGAAGCAGGGGAAGTGTGTTTAATCTCAACACAAACAGAAATGTATGACAATATGTGGTTAGAGAGCGAGTTACATGCTTGAACTATATCTTGACAAACAGACTGTGTGTAGAGTCCCTAACAGGGTCATGTACCCACAGTTCAAGGCACCGAGAACCAGTGTTTTTATTTAAAATTCTACTCATTAGATCTTCTAGAACAAAAATACTTACTATGTTCCATTGGCCGCATGATTTCTTTAATGTCTCCCAAACAAACGTTTGTTTTGGTTGCCTCTTTCTTGCGTTTGAAGGTGGGGTAGGTAATTTCTGAGAAACCAGCTCGAGTGCGTTAGAATTTGAAAATACACAACCGGATAAAATCTGCCACTTCCTTAGAGAGCCCCTCCTCCAACACACACAAACGTGCACATGACCAATGAGGGCACGAGATAAGTTTGTGCACAGATGGAAGGCTGACAGGCAGTTAAGCCATCCAGTTACTTTAGCCGGACCGGCTCCAATGATTGGTCGAGCCAGTTTCTCAAACTTACCTACTCCACCTTTAAAATCATATACATTTTATTTTCCTTTCATTGTGGGTATTAACAGCAATTGACAAATAAATGTAGTATGGATACGAACATCTCTGAATACATTGATGGTGACGATGTCTCGTCTCTATGTTGACAGATAGGTGCGGCTCAAATGTTTTTTCTGTCCCGGTGAAACTCAACTGTCGACACAGCGTAGCAATGTTTACCTTTGCCTGTATCTACCACTGGACAAACCACACAGACCTCTCCTATCTTAATCGTCAAACTATCCCAAAAAATCGAAATGCCATACAAAAAAAGAGAGCTATTGAGGATGGCAAGGCATTTGTGCTGTTACGAGAATGAGACAAAGTTCTGAGTGGACTCACCTCCAGGTCGTCCTCCACTATGACCACAGTGGAGTGGGAGAGCGTGTTGAACACTTGCTTGAGGGCCCAGTGGTAATGCCGGGAGATCTTGTAGTAGCCCTGGAACTTCCTGTGCTCCGGCCGCGCTCTGATGTCCGACAGGTCCGGTTGGCGGATGTGCATCACTTGATCTCCGTACGAGCCAATCACCCGAGCCGTCTCTGCGTGGCCGCAGTCCTGGCTGACGATGATTGGATGAAGTTGTGCAGAAGGGCGGTACTGTATCAGTCTGTCCAGGCTCCGTTTCACGGTCACTCTGTCACAGGCAATAACCAGGATGGGGATGACGACTTCTGGGGTGGCAGGGGAAGTCTGCAATTTGTTCTCGCCAATCTCTTCCTTTGGTACATTGACCTGGGGATTATCTAAGTTAGTGTCTAAAGCTTCTGTATTAACAGGCCTCTGCGTTTGTTTCACTCGAGTTTGGTCCGTATCATCCACGTTATCCTTGATAGGTTGAAGCTTCTGTGGCTGGTGGACAACCTCTTCTTTGACTTCTTTTCTATCCTCCATTTCTCTTTTCCCGACATCTTTCCGCCTGGCCCACATGGCTCTGTGACTTTCAATCTGCTTCAGTAGCTTCTTCTGGGTATCCAGCTGGACTTCCACCTCCTCTGCCAGCCGGATCACCTCCCCGGCCAGGTTAACCCCGCCTCCTTTCACCATGCCCCACTCCTCCTTTCCTCCTGGTTCGGCTCCACCACCTTCTCCGAGGCGGCCGACGGGAGGACCCCAAAGATAGAGCAGAAGCAGAGCATTCCAGGCAACAAACAGGAAAGCACTGCATAGTATAAGAGAACCTTTCTTGCGAACCATGGCCCAATGACACTAGAAAAGGGATGGGGTTGTGGAACCAAAGAAGGCGATCTCAGATGGGCAGGAAGTTGATATCAGATCACCTTGTCAGTTTTTCAAACATGAAGGTTATCCTGTCTTTTAGTCAGGAGAGTGTCAGGACAAATGTCCAATTCAAAATGAATTCACATGATCCTACTGTACCATACAGACAAGGGAAATTAGTAGAGATAGGACACGCAAGGACAGCCAAGGGGGGGTTGCAAAACTGCAGATGACAGTGAAAAAGAGGAAGTGGGGTCCCTTTGGGTTGAGGGGACGTGACTCCTTGGAAATTACCCTTCAGCCATCATCCTGAAAACAGAGCAGCAGAACAAATGATCAGCAGAATTAACACAGCTCATATGAATAGAAGCCCCTTCCACGCATGCACTTTATATTTCTGTAAACGTGTGGATAAAAGAAGTGACACTGTTGGCAAAAGCCCACACAAGATATGTGTATTTCTACATAAACAGAGAGAAAAGAGTGTGTGTGTGTGTGTGTGTGTGTGTGTGTGTGTGTGTGTGTGTGTGTGTGTGTGTGTGTGTGTGTGTGTGTGTGTGTGTGTGTGTGTGTGTGTGTGTGTGTCAACAAGTTTTCTAATTATTATTTGATTAAACTTCAAGTCCCCCCACAGCTTCATTGGCCTATAACTAGGGCTAAGGGATTAATTTAAAAATTCTAATGAATTGCATTACAGACAGAGGGCAGATATACTCAGGAAAACAGAGACAGTGTAAACCTTTATATATTTGGTCAGAATTTCAAATAAATAGTTGTTTGAAGGAGTTTTTAGAGAACTAAAAAATATATTTAAAAAGGAGATTATGTTGAAGTAGGGTATATTAAAGAGAATCGTAGAACTGGTATTGGCATTAACTCACAACCTAATGCAAACAACAACACAATCAAATACAAAATAAATCATAATTAAATCATTTTTAACTTTTGTGCATTTTATCAGATGAATAGAAGCAGGCCCTCTCTTCAGTGTTTGACTATACCTGAGATAGAAGTCTCCCCATGAAGAAACAGTGCACATGTTGAAATGCTTCCACTGAGCTCTGCACTCAAAGTAAATCAATGTGACATCGTCAACAGTGTGGATGTGACAGTAAATGTTGTGTTTTTCGTTGCACGATGGTGTGAGTGAGGAGTGAGAGATGAAGGTCACACTGAGCTCTCCACGGAAGCTGCTCAGCGTTAGGAAAGCCTAAGCCAATTGCTGCTGATAAATATAGGCGTTCAGTAATCGTGCAAGGACGGGTGTTTGACTACAAGGAGCAGGCGTCTGATCAGCAATGGATTGTGTCCGTGCTTCACAGCTCTGCCAGCTCTTTACATGTCAGACCTGATTATCCCTGTATTGCCATCACCTTACAGAGAACCCTGCCCCCATGATTCCACATGTGTCCCACCTACTGACACAGAAGACCATTAAGAAGCTCATGGAGGAATCAGATATCAGATAACTTACTTAGGATAAATAAACTAGTCTTAAATACATGTAGAATGCTCTCAGCACTAATGTCACACTCGTGTCAGGTGCTTATATTAAACAAATACATTAAAACCTTCCTAGTTTTGCTTGGTTTTTAACAGAAACAACTGTGTATGAAGCAATATGGTTCACAAGCAACCAAAAGTACATCATACAAATTAGCATAAAGTTGAACAACAACTAAAACCGGACGTTCAAGAAGATAAGGTGAACTCTAGGACCATTGCACTCGTTTTAGATACCTTTTACAACCGTGTTATGCATTACTCTGTCTTTAGGGCCATATAAGACTTTCTTCTTCCTGCTCCTGACAAAGAAACTGCTTAAAGTGTACATGTTTTGTTTTGAATTCATTGAAATGAGTGGAATAAGAGAATAAAATAAAAGAGTTACAAGATCAAATGAAATGATCTAAATGATCAAGTTGACAACAGAAGAAGCAATATGTACACTTCTAAGCTGACAATAAAGGGTGCCTTACAATAACCCACAAGAAGAAAGTAGAGAAGTAATGGTATTTAAGAAAGGAAAAGAGTCAGTCAGGGCGCTTAGAGTAAGTAGAGAAGGGTCATTAAGGACATCAAAGGTCTAAAGAGTCCAGAGTAAAGAATATCAAGTGTAAAGCTCAGCATACCTGACCTCGGAGCAGCAGATCTGTCATGCCTGCCTTTCAAACTGTTAAGCTTTAGAGACTGAACGGGAAGGAGGATGGGCAGAGGGAGGGAACTGTTGCTCTTCTTACCAATTGTACCAGCTGAAACTATTCTTTTGTACCCCCCCTCCCTCCCTCCTGTCGTCAGACAACGTGGAACTGACTGGTAGGATCAGAGAGGAGTCTGCGGCAGGAACAACCCCAGGCTCCAGACAGTGGGGGAACAAGTACTCAGATCCTTTACTTAAGTAAAAGTACTGATTTCAAAATGTTAAATTAAGTAAATTACAAAAGTAAGTACTCATTTTGCCTAATGGCCCAATATTTGAATAATAAAAAGTACCAAAGTACTGTCAGCTAAATGTACTTCAAGCATCAAAAGTACTTGTTATGCAGAATGGATCTTTTCATAGTGTTATATTGTTATGGTTAACATATCCTGTTTGTATACATGTAGGCCTACTAGCGTTCTAATTGTAGTTTGTGGGCCAAATGTAGATACCTTTTGAATACAGTATTAATACTGTGTAGATTACTAGTACAGTACTGCATTATTTCATATCAGCATATCATGTTTTTAAATGTACAAAGTAGGCTAACTATTAACTGTGAGCCTTAAAATAATGTAGTGCGGTCAAAAGTGCAATATTTGCCTCTGAAATGTAGTGGAGTATGTATAAAGTAGCATTAAATAGAGATATAATAAAACACATTGCGGCTAGTGGGGGAAGAAGCACTGAGATCCTTGACTAGTGAAAGCATTGTTACCACAGTTTTCAAATACTCCTTTACAAGTTAAAGTCCTGAGTTGTTACCTATGTATAACTACAGAAGTATTATCAGCTACATGTACTCAAGTATCAGAAGTACAAGTATTCATAGTGCAGAATGCCTCTTATGAAAGTGTTGTATTAGTATACAATATTATATTATTGTGTGTTTATCATTAGAAAATACACAAGAGTTTTGTAAGGTTGTAATTCGTCAATATGGAGCACATTTTGGAGAGTAAATAAGTAGTTCATATATCTGATCATATCAACACATGCAAGTACAACTGTCAAATGAATTTAGTGCAGTAAAAGAACAACATTTCCCACTTTATAGAAGTATAAAGTAACAGATAATGGAAATTCTGAATAACAGTGCAAGTACCACAACATTATACTCAAGTACAGTACTTGAGTAAATGTTCTTATTTACTTTACACCGCTGCAAACAGCGGGTCACTCTGGTCTGTTGAGAGGAAACAAGCTGTTTAACACTCTTTTTATGAAGCTAATAGGCTAGCTTAAACAAGCTGTCGGCTAGCTAAGTGAAACACAGAGCACAGTGTGTTACACAGGGTGTCTTCTTTACATTAAGACATACACTGCGTCTTAATGGCAAGCTTACCCGTTATGCTGACGTGCTGTTAGCTAGCTAGCTGGCTAACGCCGAGCAGCAGCGGTGAAGGGTTTTCATTCATGAGCCGTCCTGACCATGAAGCCCCGGACAGCTGAAGCCTGGCACTCCCCTCTCACATGCCGCTCTCAACCGAGTCGATACGGCTAGCACCGTGAAAGGAAATGAAGCGAACATCCAGCTGCAGCACCAACCGCCTAGCTGGCTAGCTAGCTAATGTTTGCTAGTCGAGCCGCCGCTGTATTTCCTTCTGTCAAATCCACGGTGCATCTCTGTGTTTCTACCCAGCACCTCCACCTCTGGTTCCCATTATTCCCCCGGCACTGCTACTATCATCATCACCGGCAGCTGCTACTGTTAGCAGTGTCTGATACACACGTTACAGTGCCAGCAGCCTGTGTGTCCACAGTGCCATGTTGCTGCTGGAACTAATTTCCTCTGCCCTCAGTGCCCTGGCTCAGGTTCTCATACTCCACTTGGCTTCACCCAGGCTTCTGATGTGTGAGGACTACACTTAACTCCACTTCCGGATTATTGACTCGTTTAGGCTCGAGTCGACCCGAACCGAGACAGGTCTTATTCCGAATAATTTCCCTATATTACCTATATCCCTATACACAAAACGGCCACATAATGGAATAATACAATCATATTAAATTGTTCAATATTTACATTCTGTAAAAAGGTCAACATTTTAGAAAGAGTTCGACATATAATGACTTTGATTTCCTAGTATGGTGTATCTTCCAAAACGACACTTCCCATGATGCAAACTAATGGTCTTCTCATTAAACCCCTTTAAAATTTACTCTTTCTATTAGACAGAGGTGTGAGAAGTACTCAAATATTGTAGGCCTACTTGAGTAAAAGTAGAAGTAAAAGAGTGTAGGAATACAAGGCCTGTTATAAGTAAAAGTCCTGCATTAAAAATGTTACTCAGGTAAAAGTACAAAAGTACAAGCATCTAAATATACTCAAAGTAGCCTACCAAAATGTGTCATTGTGCAGGTCCATTTCAGAATAATATATATGATATGTTTTATAATGATTGATCATTAGAGTGTTCTCAAAGCTGGTAAAGGTGCAGCTAGTTTGAATGACTTTGTATACTGCAGGGTAGCTTGTGAATTTACTCCAGGTGGAACTAAAGTCTGATTTAACACTTGATTATATTTCACATCATTCATCCACACCTGTAAAGTAACTAAAGGTATTAAATACATGTAGTGGAGTAGAAGTACACCATTTACCTCTGAACTGTAGTGGAGTAGAAGAACAAAGTAGCAAAACATTGAAATACTTAAGTAAAGTACAAGTATCTCAAAATTGTGCCCAATTATAGTACTTGTTGAGTTGATGAACTTACTTACTTTACACCAGTGGCTATAAAGATAGAAAGACTAAGCCTTGCACAGAGGCATGAAAATACATTTTCAAAATGCTCAACAGTGCTGCCAAAATTATAAACTGATTGCTACACAATTTAAAATAAATGCTTTTTATATATTTCTATTAGATGTGACTCTATGGCGTTTCTATTATTATTAACACTGCTGCTTTAGTTGTTCTGACTGCTAAAATCCTCTGTTATTCCT